TTTGTGGCGAGTTGTCTGGACCCCAAGCATAGTAGCACTAGTAGACCTCTATAGCGCTGCACACAATTACACACTCGTGGACACAATGAGTACGAAGTGGCTGATATGATCGGCAAGTTTGACAGTAAACTCGCGATTTTAATTTTCAAAGAATTTTTTCTAACATCGGTTAGTTGAAAATACTATTTTACTGCTATATAGGTGTCATCAATTGTCACTAAAGTACCAATTTATTTTGAGTGATCTCAGTTGAGTTTTGTACAGTGTTGTTTAAAATGTTGAGAATCAATAGAGGTAATACAAAAAAGTACACTAATGCTGCTATGTGTGGCCTAGGTCAGATATTGTTTCCAGAGTGATGGTACTGCAACTGCAGAGCAGGGTTTGAAAGATATTTATTTAAAAAATAAACCAAAAATTGTACATGGCCAGGCCCATGCATGCAGACACGGACTGTTAACCGTGGTAACACTAACAATATGTAAAACTGTATCGGAGCTTGGAGATAATTGATAATTTATGACACTGATGCAGTGATAGATCCAAACTTCTGGAGCAAAATCAAACTTGTCTTCAATCCTGAAAATCTCTCTGCCAAATAATTGTCTAAATTCTGTTTCTCTGTGTAATCAAAAATGTATTCTTTATGTTATTATTGCAGGAACTACTGACTACAAGCATGAAATAGATGTGACGCAATTGGATTAAATTGATCAACAGTACTGTTTGGCAATGGGAGAAAGTGGTAACGGGAGGACCTTTGCTTATTTGTTCCTCCTCGATTTGGCACCATTCAGTATCCAGTGATATTTCTTTTGTATTGTGTTGTTTCGGCAATATATCAATAAAGCAACAGTTTGACTGACTTGCCTGCATCATCACTTTTGTGCTGAAAACCTTATTTTGGTTGTTTGAAAGTCGCCATTTTCCTTTTTTATCCTCAACATTGACCTTCCGTGTCTTCATTCATCATCAGAACTCTACCTTTGACATCGACCATTCGTTTCTTTGTTCATAATCATCATGATAACTTTACTTTCGCCATCATCGACATCGTTTCTTTGTATGAAGACCACGCCATCTTTCTGTTTAACAGTATACAAACCCCAGTTTGTATATTTACACCGTCGATTTCCGTTCTTTGTTTGAAGATCAGGATTTACGCTTACCTTCCACATCGTCAGAAACTTTGCTATTCTTTTTCCACATCGTCTCTTCTTGTTTCTTCGACATCGTCAGAAACTTCGGTGTTCTTTTCCACATCGTCAAATCTTGTTTCTTCGAGATCATCAAAAACTCTACCTTTGTCGTCATCAACAGAATAGACCCTAATTGTTTCTTTGACATCGTCGGTTCATCATCATTGACAATAACATCAACGCATTCGACAAGTTTGATGATAATGTAGTGTAATTTGAAAAGCGGCAGTCTTTCGCTTTATAAATAGACTACCTTAATTGTTAACATGTGACTGTTATTGGAATATTTCCTGGCTAGATTTTAGCACGGATTGAATAAACGCTCATGGTTTAAATGATATATCTTGTGTTCCACTATTTTGTATTATAGCTGTCTGGTCTCTCGTGAATCACAGTAGAGAGAAAAGGAAGAATTAAATTAGGAATTAATTGGGATGTTGACCAAGTTACGATCATCGATCATGATCATTCAACTCCTAATCCAGTTCTTGCCAAAACTCTATATGCAGCAACATCTTTTCAAAAAGCCACAAACATGCTCTGAAGCACTCATTTTTTATGGTAATTTGATCCAATTATTTGATTGTGTTTGTTACAAGGACACGTCTGTATAATTTCTGAACGTATTTTACACCGTATCAAAGATTGCAGTAACTTCTTCCTTTACAATATACTGCTCTGAGGATAAGCCATGTTGGGAGGGCCACAGCCTTCTGAAGTCTTAATAAATGCATATTCACATTCTTACTCTTTTTCTTCCTGTTTCTTGATCCCTCCTTTTCTTTCTTTCTTCTCTTTTCTCCCTTTTTATTCTCTTTCTGTCTATTTTTCTTCTTCTCTTTCTTCTTCTGCCCCCTTTTCCTCTCTCATTCTTATTTCTTCTTCTCATTCTGCTTCCTATCATTCCTCTTGGTCATGTTTCTTGTTATGCTTAATTCATCATTCATACTTGTTCTACAGCTTTTGTATGAATGTAGAGTTCAGATAAAATCAATTTGTTTTCTCTCTCTATAATGTAATTTACACATATCAGTCACATATATTGTTTCTAAATTCTATTTATTAATTTTGAATGCATTGTCTGTTTGGAGCCACAGTGGCATTGATCTGTATTACTTTGACATGGAGTCAGGGCCCTTGTGACCCCAACAGACGATATGTTAAACGTGTCCGTTAATATTTGTCTACATTATGCATCACAAATTCCATTAGGAATAATATGAAGTATTAGCCCTGCATTGTTAATAATAAAACATGACCTGGGCTTCTTCTCTTTTCTACTTGTAGTATCTATACAAGTGTATGTACTATAATCATGTTTGTTAATAAAGTGATATTGAAACAAAAACTGCTGCAAAATTAAGAAACTGAAATTGGGGTTTTCTGCCTACAACAATAAACTCAAATAGGGCATTCTGTCATCAATATTCATCTTCAAACATATTTGTTTTAAAAAATATTTGCAGAAGTGTGTGTTAATTTATGCCACAAAACTTGGGCTGCTAACACTTTACATTTCTTGAAACCTCTCAAAAACTGATTACACTTGAAACGTGTAGTGTTTGTTGACACATGAAGTAATAACCAACACCAAACATGATTATGATAACATTTGTTAGGTTATTTTAATATAAACTGTATAAACAAGTATGAACATAGGAAAATAGATCTGTAGTTGATACACACAGCTTTTGTAATAGACAAAACAGAAGTACATTTAATAACATAATTGGCGGTAATGCTTATTTGCAGGGGTGGCGATTTCTTTTCATGACCGGGGGGGGACGAAATGCGAAGGACGGGGGAGCAGTGGCGTATATTGAACAAAAACGTTGGGGGGGGGGGGGAAGAAAACAAATCTGCATCCCCACTCTAACATTGTACATGCAGGCCTCGCGGAACGTTTTTCATAGAGGGGGAGGCTAAAGTATTTTATTAGGTAGAGCAAAGCGAGCATAGCAAGTGGAGCGTAAATTGGCATGTGGTCCAGGGGCGTAGGCCCGTGAAGCTCATGGGTTTTAGGCATTTAATAACGGTCAGATGAGCATCCAGGGGCTCGTCGTAGAGCCCCTGGTGGGGTCCAGGGGGCAGAGCCATGCCATTTCAGCAACATTTGTAAATCACTGGTATCGAGTTAGAAATAAATCAAGTTTGAATTTTATCACGGGGGCAATTGCCCCCAAGCCCCCCCCCCCCCCCCCTCATCATTACGCCAAGGCGAGGGAGCAAAGAGAACGAGAGGGGTAGAGGTTACGGAAGTGACTATCACCTCACAGGTTTTTGAAGTTTTGTTGTATTAACAAATTACATACTTTAATTAGCAAAAGAATAGTATAAAAACAAGCAATATACCCGTTTCACACTTCACTTTTCGAGAATATTTACTGTACACTTCGAAGAATATTATGCGGGGGAGCGTAGCTCCGGAGCGAGAAGATTTTTGCATTTTTATTTGTCTAAACACTGCACTCTAGGGCCCTCCAGAGCCTAAAAGTTTGTTACAGTCTTTAGTCAGTATTTGCTATACACTTTTTTTCTCACTTTTTCAATTTTTCAGGGGGGGATGATCCCCCCCCCCTAAAAAAAATTGAGGGGGGGACGGGATCGCCGCCCCTGCTTATTTGAGAATGGAAAATTGCAAACATATGAGTATCTTATATGGCATCAAATGACCATTTGCTTCAGCAATGTGAGAGCCGAACAATTGCTAAACAATTTACATGTATAAATAGTGGAGAGAAAACTTTGGAATGAACGCAAGTATTTTTTCCCCTTGAACCATAATTGCGTATCAATATCATTTCAATACCTTTATTACAACATACACATGTATAACAAGAGATCAATGGACCTTGTGTTTAACAGAGCCTGTAAAATTAGTGGCCACATCAATTATTACTATACTATATTACTATATTATCACTTGTGCCCTGGGGTACCTACATCGAAAATGTACCACAGATGATTATTTCTTTAATATACCCCCCCCCCCCCATGCATAAACATCTGGCAACACTACGTACAAGAGACCTAAAAGTAATAATTTTCCACAATTGAGACCCTAAGGGGAGCACTGCCCCCGAGTCCTCATGAGGGGCAAGGTAATCAATACAAACAAATTCAGATCCCCTCTCAAAATGTCAAATTTTATTGAGTGCCAGCATTAAGTTTTAGAGTCAAAGTAAAGAAATTGCTATATACATGTATGGACATTTTCGGGGGTTCCGTTGAGGGGCAAGGTACCTCAACAACCTATCACTTCTCATGAATAATCCCTGCCAAATTTGATTAAATTTTGTTGTACTGATGTATTTTTTCAAAGAAAAATTGAACAATTAACCTTAATGCTTCCTGCTGTAATATGGGCCGGAGGTATAAAAGTAAAGTTAATCTTTACTAAAGACCCCCCCCAAAAAATAAATATATATATACAAAATTAAAAAATTAAAAAAAATCCTCATATTAAAGGTACTATGTCCCTTTTGCAGCCAACCTCAAATTCTGTAGAACTTTGCAGGAATTATGAATATGTCATGTATGTCCTATCTGTAAAATGTAAACGTTAGCAGTGTCCTAATATTCAAATTATGCAAGGAAACCCGTTTACTTGCTAGACTTCACTGTCAGACACTATTGAGTGTCTGACTGGCTTTTTTTTCTTCTCTGGTAATAACATACATGAAATGAGCTGTAAAGGGTACATTAACATTTGTCTACATCAATAACCCACTTCTTGTGACGGCCAAAATTAAACTGATTGAATCTTTGCGCAGCATAAAACAGATGACCATTCGGTACAATGGTCTGAACATCAAGACTGTTACTTATTGGCCCATTTGAAGACTTTTTCAAGCCCAACTTTCTTTAGGGCAATTCTAAATTAGTATTATCTTTCAAATGTCATGGAATTTAACCTTTTCATTTGTTTTGGCCTGCAAATGGGACATCAATCATGAGTGTCCCATTTGATATTGGACTGCATAAACACTCCGAGCAGCTTGATGACATTGCAGTGTTGGACAGTGTGATCAGCAAGGATAAGGCGAGAGGGCATCGGACAAATAGCTCGGGCAATGTCATGCTCAGATGATTCTGGGCAGTGGCGTCGAAGTCTGAGGATTCTACAAATGCGCTTCACCTGCCGAACACTATAAAGGGAAAGATAAATATATCACAGTTTAAACCCTCAATACAATTAAATATATACTATAATAATATTAGGAGGCCCCAAAAGTTGATTTAAAATTATGCAATAGCATTATCAGATATTTTATGAGCATGCCATTCAAAGCAATGATACATGAAGGTGGGTTTTATGTTATTAAGAAATGTTCCAGGTTTTTGAAAGATTTATATTTCGGGTTAGGTACATCCATGAATAAAATTATAACAAATACAAAAACATCACGTATACAAAAATTGTTCATAGTTCATACCTCTCTTCCTGATGCCATCTCGATAATGCTCCATGAATACCCTGCTACCGTAAGAGGCAATCTGGTAAAGTACTGTGCATTATAGAATTTGTGAAATCAAGGAGCAAAACTATTTTTTTTAAACTTAGAAAAGCATCCACATATACACTAATAACTGTTTTCACATCTATTATATCAAGAGGTTAGCTTTGGAATACTAGTTACTCATGTGTTAAGATCCTACCAATGGTTTACACATAAAGTGAAGTATTGCAGAACACTTTTGGGGTTGAAATCAAATGAATTGCACATTTACAATGACTTGAAAATATGTATGACTTAAAATTTTTCAAAGGTCATACATTTAGGTCTGTGACATTGTTCCTGATTAAAAGAACATTAAGACTCGTAAGCATACCAATATACCAGTACAGTTCTCTTGATGCCAATATTATAGAAGTGGTAACCTTGCTTGATTCATAATGCGGAATGAGGATCGCTATTCATAATACGGGAAGAAGGTTGCTATTCATAATACGGGAAGAGGGTCGCTATTCATAATACGGAATGAGGGTCGTTATTCATAAAAATTAAATAAGCAAACAAAATAATAACAAGTGGAATTTTGAAAAAGGGACACCCCCACTCCCATGGCTGTGGCATAGTGATGGGGGGGGGGGGAATGATACATGGCCTTGAATATTTGTCGAAAACATTTATTGAAAACAAACATTTTGAAGAAATAAAGAAAAAAGGCGTGCTACAATAATGTACATCACCCCTACCCCAATCAGTCCGACCACGCTGCGCCATTCGGCCCACCCTCCCTGCAGCATTCCCTTAGGACAAGTACATATTACCAACAATTTTCGTCAAGGGGATAGACAAAAAATATCCGCACCACCCCACTCTTACATGCAGGCCCCGCTGAACGTTTCTAAAGTAGGTGAGGGGGGAGGGTAGGTACAAATTAGGTAGAGCATTGCATAAATTAGCGTGGGGTCTTCGTGAAAAATATGCGATAAAATTGACGAAATCGTGAATTTTATCGCATATTTTTCACGATTTAGTCTTTTCGCGATGTCCCTTCAGGGCCACCATATATTAATGACTGCTTTGAGAGAAATAGTTGTTTTTATAAGCTCAAGGGAAGGTTAGAATTGTGCTATTACCCGAGGCGTGCCGAGGGGAATAGCCCAATTGTAACCTTCCCGAGAGCGTATAAAAACAACTATTTCTCGAATATTAAAGCAGTCATTAATACTTTTATATGCCGAAAAAAAATAGACTAAAAAATAAAAAATAAAAAATACTTTTTTTTTTTGTCGAAGGTGAGAGTCGAACCCTTACGTACAATGAGTGATGAATCTTACACCAACGCCTTACACCACTCGTCTATCGCGCGATGTTCACGTGCTGGGCAGTTTTGTACAATATATACATTAAAATGGATTGAAACCGGCTTCGGCGTGATGAATGCTTCGCAAAAGCTCCATTAAACGGACCCTTCTTTACTTTTGCAATGCATATTGGCACGAACTTAGATCAAGATCTATCGGCAGATGTTGTTTTTTTTGTTTTTGGAAGTATTTTCGTCTTCATGTCAACAATGCAAGATAAAATTGTCGGTAAGATCGATCGAGATTCAATTGTATTGAAATTACCGACCAATCCTTCGCACACATACGGTATCCTCGATCGCTCAAACCATTTTTAACATGTAAACCTATGGGGTAACCATGGAGGCTGACCTATTTTTTTAATAACCATGGTTATTAAAAATATTAAATGTTTTATGCATGGTTACCGGGAATTTTACAGGAACAGTTGAAGTTTATGAATGCAATTTCGACCAATCAGATGGCTGGATTACTTAAGTGAGGTATATAATACAGACTATACCGATGTGACATTTGGAGAGCAAAATAATTAGTTTGTTTATTTACTAATGTAAAGCGCTTTGAGCATGTTTATGCCATATAAATATCAATATGTATGAATGTATTGCCAAATTTTGACAATTGTAGTTTGTAAGTATATGTATTGACAAAGTATAAATACAAATAAAACCGACACAGAAATGTCTGCAAGTATTTGGGACCTATATAGAATGTGCGAAAAGAGCTTTGTCTTTGTCTTTGGCCCATGCATGTTCCCACAGCTGAGTTACGTAAGAGGAACAATGAACGTTGCTGAGGGTACGGGTCGTTGTCATGGCTATAAACTCTAAAGAGCGGAAGTAAGGTAAGGGCATAATTGAATAATTGGATGACAGATCTGAGATTATATTATCAAAAAAAAAGAGAAGAGTATATGAATTTACAAATAGTACCAACAAATAGAAGAAATAAATAAATAAAGTGAAAGGCGTAAATATTCTAAAAAAGAATGAACGCCGATAATACCAAACAACAACAACAACAACAACAACAATGAACTGACTTTGTATTCATGTATAACCCTGCTTTATGTTGTTTTTGGGAGGGAAGGGTCTTGTTGTTATTGCAGTTGTCGTTGCTGTTTTTTAAATTTTTAAATGGGATCACGTTCCGACATTCTCATAAATAAAAATCATATAACGTAAAGCCAGACTTTACCCTATCTGAAACACTCATTCAAAGACAACAATCATGCACGATAAAGGAATGGACAAGAATATGTGATAAAGATAAAATGTCACAACAGACAAATAGATAATTATAAGAAATGATTGTTTCTCTCTCTCTTTCTCTCTGCTTATGTGTCTCTCTCTCTCCCTCTATCTCCCAATTTTGTTCCGCCGTTTGCTTGTATGCCGGCAACATTCCTTTTTTGAGATAGATTATAATAAAATAATGATGATGTACACACTTTATTATACCTTATATTTATTATAGCGAGCGAAGTGAAAACGAGCGGCTGATAATGTCTAAATGCGAATAATTATATTTCCAAAGTAAAACTTTTGAATGAAAATCTTTGTTGCAACAAATTGATATAAACACTATTTATTATGCTATATTGACTATACTATTATACGTCGGACATTATACTTCAGCGAAAAGATATCTATATGATAACAAAAAGGACAGACTAAAGGGGACAAAAATCGGAGCTGGGGTGGGGGGGGGGGGAGGATGATCGGAGAGACAAATATCATATAAATAAATACAGTACGGACTACGTCCAACTTTCTATCTCTCTCGCCCCCTTCCCCCTCCCCTTTCTCTCTCTCTCTCTCTCTCTCGCTCGTTCTCTCTTTCTCTTTCTATTTCCCCCCCCTCTCTCTCTCTCTCTCCCTCTATATGTCTCTCTGTTTATCTGGCAATGTCGTTTTCCATCTTCATCTTTTTTTATTAAATGTTTTCTATTCCCCCGTTTGCTTGTATGCCGACATCATCTCTTCCTTGAGATTAATTATTATAACGTAATTATCCCTGATGATGTACACATTATACCTTATATTTATTATAGGAAACGAAATAGAGAACGAGCGGCTGATAATGTCGAAATGCGAAGAATATTACTGAATAATAATTATATTTCCAAAGTAAAACATTTGAATGAAAATTTCTGTTGCATCAAATTTATTGATATAAAAAAAATGTTTAAAATGCTATATTTACAATACTATTATACGTCGGACATTATACTTCAGTGAAAAGATATCTATATGATGAAGAAAAAAAAGGGCAAACTAAAGGGTAAACAAAAAATCGGAGCTGGGGGGGGGGGGGGAGGGGGGGTGATCAGAGAGACAAATATTATATAAATAAATACAGTACGGACTACGTCCAACTTTCTATCTCTCCCGCCCCCTAGCTTTCCCTCCCCTTTCTCTCTCTCTCTCCCTCGTTCTCTCTCTCTCTCTTTCCCCCCTCTCTCTCTCTCTCTCTGTCGTTCTGTCTATCTGGCAATGTCGTTTTCCATCTTCATCTTTTTTATAATGTTTTCTATTCCTCCATTTGCCTGTACGCCGGCAGCATCTCTTCCTGAGATTAATTATTATAACGTAATTGTCCCTGATGATGTACACATTATATCTTATATTTATTATAGGAAACGAAATAGAGAACGAGCGGCTGATAATGTCGAAATGAGAAGAACATTACCGAACAACAATTATACCAAGTAAAACTTTTGATTGTAAATCCCTGTTGCATCAAACTGATTGATACAAAAATTGTTTATTATGCTATATTGACGGTACTATTATACGTCGGATATTATACTTTAGCCCGAAGATATAAACAAAACAAAACAAAAAAAATGGAAAGAAAAAATGTGAGCTTGAGGGGGGGGGGGGGGGGGGGGGGGGGGGTCGGTGAGAAAAATATCATAGTAATAAATACAGTACAGACTACGTCCAACTTTCTATCTCCCCCGCCCCCCCCCCCCCCCCCCCCCCTCTCTCTCTCTCCCTGTCCGTCTGTCTCTCTGTCTATGTCGTTTCCATCTTCATCTTCATAATGTTGTCTATTCCGCCATTTGCATGTATGCCGACATCACCCCTTCCTTGAGATTAATTATTATAACATATCCTGATGTTATACGTCGGACATTATACTTTAGCAAAAAGATATAATCAAACAAAAAGGAGACAAAATAAAGAAGAAACAAAAATCAGAGTTGGGGGGGGGGGGGGTGACCGGAGAGACAAATATCATTAAATATCATTGTACGCATATTTTATTTGTTTTGTATGTAATGGAAAGAGATAAATAAATGACAGAGATTAGAACAAAATCATAATTCATCACAATCATCTCTCTCTCTCTCTCTCTCTCTCTTTCTATCTATTTATCTATCTTTCTCTGTCTGTCTCTGTCTGTCTGTCTCTATCCTCCCCCTTCCCTCTCTGAAAACGTCAGGAATTTCGTGAAATTGGAAATGTGCTTCAGTGTATTTTATTTCCGTATCGCGTTGTTGTGTTTGCTTTTTGTTTTTGAAAGGGTGCGGCTAATAAGGAGTTAATCGCAGTAGTATTGGTAGTCTTTTATTTATTCGAAAATAAATGATATTGAAAATATAGTAATTCATTATATTACGGAACAATAAAGAAAGAAGTGCAAACAACGTGATAATTCACTTTATTTGTCTTCGTCTCCATCTGTGTCCTTGTTCAACCCATCGTGTCAATAAAAACTTAGATAATCCTCGTTCATGATCAGTTCTGTAGATGGCATGTACATGCATACATGATAATGATAATGATGTAGATGATGCTTACAATATTGTAATAAAATAGTAATAATAATAATAACAATTATTTTCTTCATCTCGCACTCGCTTTTCTTCATTGCCAGAAAACTGTTTTATGTTGCCTTGCATTTTTTCAACAATGGTAGCATCTTTGCCCGGGAAAAGTCTCATATTCGTGGCTTACCGCCGGAGTTGCTCAAGACAAGAGTAATATTCCGTAGGGAGAGAGAGGAAGAGTAAGGGGTCGTTTTTTCAGAACATAACATTTGAACATTTCATATGACCGCTCAAGCCAAGACCGGCTTTAGGTTGATCAAGATATTTTACTTCAACCTGCTCTAAAACTGTTACATGCCCTCGTAAAGGTGTATAAGTTAGAGTGGTTGTTTGTATTGTAATGTAAATTGACCTATTTACGCCTACATCCTCTTCTTTCAAAAACGGAAATCTTCCAGAGTAGTTACTTCTTTACATTCTTTTGTTCCCCTTAGCGTGGGGCAGCTGAGGGAGCCTGGTTAAGCCTTTCATAAAAAGAGGAGGTCCATACATGAATGATTCGCTAAATCGGTCAAGTTGATAACATGAAAAGCGTATTGTCATGTAAATACAATGACGTAAAAGATAGCTGTGAAGTCAAAACTTTTGAGACGACAGGCTTTATAGATAACTTATGGAAATATCATCGAATGTCGTTGTTTCATATTCTTCATTTTCTACGTCCGATGAATACTCTTCTTCGCTTGATAAGTCCATTTGTATCATATTCATTTTCTGAGTCCGAGTCAAGGATCGCTTCTCGAGCATCTTCAACGCTGAAAATAGGCTTTCTCCGATGACGAGACATTTTGAGAAACTATCTTACATAGATAAAGAGCAGTTATAAGCAAATAATTGAGAACTAATTTGTGCAACCAACTATCATGAAAATCAAAAAGCTGAACTAAATAGTAAAACTCCGACACTTTATAGCACGATAAGTAAATAATAGCCGACAACCTTGAAACGAAACAATGGGAATGACTATATCGAGACTAGCTAATCTCCCCAATAATAGGTCGGCCCGGTACCCTGTATACGTACGCATGAGTAAACTGAACTGAGAGCGCTAGGTCGAACGAGACTGTAATATACTATAAGCTTTTCAATAATCGGCCCGTTACCATGAATAGGCGTCAATGACCATATAAGGCCAAGGCTCATGCATTGAACGGTGTATCCGCGCGTGCCGAGCAACGAACTCAAACCAAGTAGAAGGATTGTGTCCGTTCACGTTTCACGCAGCGCAATGGCACCGCTCGAGTGCGCCCGCCGCCATTTTGCGTAGTACAAGAAATGGCCTGCGCATACGTATTGTGTACAAGCTCCTATTGCAATTGGAGGAAGGGACGTCCAGAAACCAGGGTTTTATTGTTAGTTTTGGTGAAAAATATTTTTACATATATTGTTTATGCCCTTTTCCAAGTCCCATACAGATGTTTGATGACTTGAATATTGGAATAAGAGTGGCAGCTTGGACAGTAGGGGAGTTGAAATTTTAGGGTTTTTTTTGCATAAAGACTAAAAGAGCTAGACTATTTGTTAAATATCATTTGTGGTATTAGGCTAGTTTGTCTCTTTCTGTGATAGAAAGAATATATCAAATTATTTAGGCTCTATCTATATAAATCACTCCCACTTTCTCTTTACACACACTCGTAAATTCTCAGTCTTTGTGTTTCTCTTCCCACTCCCCCTCTCTCTATCCCCTTCTCCCCCTCCCTCTCTTTTTCTTTCACACTCCCCCCTCTCCCTTCTTTCTCTCTACCCCTTCTCTACTCCCTCTCTCTTTCTCTCTATCCCCTTCTCTCTCTCCCTCTCTTTTTCTTTCTCTCTTTCTCTCTATCCCTTCTCTTTTTCTCTCCCCCTTTTTCTTTCACTCTCCCCCTCTTTCTTGTTGTCTCTCTCCCCTCTCTCTTTCTCTATCCCTTTGATTCTTGGCACTGCAGAAGTAGGCCCACTGAATATTAATATTATTTCTTTTCTTTCCCTTGGGAGGCTACCATTTAGCTGCCAGATATTATTTTCATCCCATATAGGCATATTAAAGATTTGTCTAAGAAGTGTTAAGTAATGACACATTGTGGCAACTATTCACATGTCTTTCCACATAATTGTGAATACTTTCATCTTTATTAAGTTTTTTTTTAACCTTGGCATTGCGCTATGTACATGAATGTATACAGTACATATTAAAACATCCATGAACTATTGCAATGGTGGATATGAAGAAAAAAATCCTCAATGGTGTGGAAAAAACGTTCCTCAAGCAAGCAATCATGGCACATTATGTTTATACCGGCACATTTCTTATTCATTTTAACACACAGAGAAATAATCACATGTACATTATTTTGACTGACTACAATGTACAAAAGGCAAGATTTTCTCCCTTTTAGCACTCAAAACTTGAACATACTTCATTCAAAAACTAAACATCAACAAGATATAATACATATGAATAAGTATTTCCCTCTCTTTGGTTTGTTCATGAAGCAATGTATGGATTCATCTGATTTCAGTGACTTCCTTATCTAATTTGACGAAACAATTTGTTTGTACACACATGTATGTGGCACTATGCCATCACCGAATACCTTATCCATTATCAAGAAACATACGCACAATAATTTGTAAATAGCTTTGGGAACCATAAGTGATCAGAGTCAAGTTAAAAATACAAAATTTAAAGAAAATCCCTTTCCCTGAAACACGTTGACAATAATCCAGTTTTTTTTTATTTCTTTGATGCCTCTTTCGCAAATTCTAATCTCAAATCTAATTTATGCAATCAAATTCAAACTATACCTAAACCTGTCAGACAGAAGACAGGCTAGTGTCAATAATAGAATCACACAATTCCTTTCTCTCTGGGTAAGCCTAGATGTATAAAACACAAAATAGACCAATAGGGCAAACATCGTAATAAATATCGTATACTATCCCTGTAGTGCACATTCTGTCATTTCAGTGGGAAGGAGAAGATGAAATAGTCTGTTTGAATTAGTATATTTATTTCATCAATGGTGAAATATTATGTAAAAAAATACACATAAGTAAGATTGACCAATTTTTTTTATCCTTTTACAGCAGAAATCCCCAAATATTTCAAAATGTATATGTCTTTAAAGATATACATGTACCAGAATAATGGGAGCTTCGCAAAATATTGCCTGGTGTTTTTTTGTCTTGATTTGTATTTCAAGTGCTGTGCTTTACTAGGCCATATGAAATCACTACATAATCTACACATATTCATCTGAGGAGTAAGTTTTAGAGGACGTAGGAAGGTTCATGCAGGTAGCTTCTTTAACTGCCAGACTGACAGGTCGTATAACTTTCACAATGACCAACTTTGAGTAAAATTTCTTGTGTTTTACAACAATTTAAATGTCCAAAATTAAGGTGTAAATTTTGAGTAAATTCCAGTAAATTTCTTACAATAATGCTTGAAAGTCTGACGACTCACGGGAAATTGTGTCACTATATTAATACCAGCGCCGCGATGCAACATGTTCATAAGTTCAAGTTAATCTTCAAAGTAACTTGAACCAAGTTTCACCAAGTCAAACAAAGAAAGTGACCTGCTTATGCCCCAATGATTCCCCCCCCCCCAAAAAAAAAAAAAAAAAAAAAAAAATAAATAAATAAAACAGTACAGTATTCTCTGGATATCATGTATTCGATATTATCGGTTTATAATACTTTGCAGCTCTGTGGAATTCAATATTTTTGATAGTTCATAGCCGATGTCATTAAACTCGAGCGAAAACAGTTCACAAACATGGAAATGAATAGATGGGACCGATGTTAATACACGCTTTAGTCTGTGGCTTACTGCGTTAGGATTATCATGCAAAACTGTTTATTTTTAATGAAGTGATCACTTAACTATGAAAGGTTATTCCAGAGCCTCTTTTAAGGCGATTGGTGCAGTTGAAAGCTGCACAATATGGCATTTTGCAGACGAAAGTTCAGCATACACATAGCACGTAGTCGCAGTTCGCTTTCACAACGCTCGTTCTATCCAAGATGGCGCACGGCGGTGCAATTCAGCGGTCTCGGAAAATCCTTCTACTTACTTGGATTTCGATGGTGCCGAGTACAAAGGTATCCAGAGCGAGTGTGGAATTCGCTGCTTGCAAAATCATTATGTCCGGCTTACACAGTCCTAGGCATAGTAGACCCATCTAGCTAGCAGCAGCGAATCCGAAAATCTATGAAAATAACGTAAACTGACTTGCATGTGTTCTATACGAATATCCTGAAAGAGGACTCGTGCATTCTCATGCTAAACTTGTAATAAAACAAAAATTACGCATCTACAGTCGGTAAAAAATGAGATGCATGTAGCCAAAGGTTCAATGTTTGTATACAGGTAGTTTATATTGTATTTAGAAGGTGAATAGATGTACTTTTCTGCAATAAAAGAAGCCCTTGCTCGGACCCGAGAAATCTCGGTTCCCGTTTGTGAGTACGTACCTCGGGACCCGAGAAATCTCGGTTCCCGAGTTGAACGGGTTAACCGTTGCTTAAATCTCTGCTATTATATGTCCAAAGAAAAACACGATAAAACGGGGCCTTCAATGTTTTCCCCCATCAGCAGTGTTGACCGTGTAAACTAAATGCTTCCCAGCTATCAAGGTTCACGTGTATCTTCTTCAAATTTCAATCAAAGTAACAGATAACAATTACTTACTTGAAAGGTTTGTTCTTGAACGTGATGAAAGTACCTAGGTGTCACTCTTGACCGAAGCCTCACCTTCCACGAGCATGCCAAAGCCACAGCTCAAAAGACCCAAGCCAGAGTGTCTCTCCTAAAGAAGCTTGCAGGGACCGGATGGGGAGCTAATTTCACCACCCTTCGCACCTCCACTCTAGCTCTTGCCTTCTCCACTGCCGAGTATGCTGCACCTGCATGGAGCCACAGCACCCATGTACACAAGGTTGATGTTGTCCTCAATGACGCTATGAGACTAATCAGCGGAACACTCACTGCAACACCAGTCAGCAACCTGCCAATATTATCTGGCATACCACCAGCTCAGCTCAGACGAGATGCGCAGTATGCTAAGCTTGCCCAAAAGCATGACAGAGATAAATGCCTTGTTCCTGCCCCCTCTGCCTTTGAAGGACAGCGTCTCCCTAGAAGACACTTTGCAACACAGGCTGCTGAGCTGCGGCCTGAGAACCCCCCCTCCACCTTAGCCACTTGGATAACAAAACGCTGGTCAGACCAGTGGAATTCGTCCACTACCAACCTGAAGGAGTTCATCCCAAAGCCCTGTGCAAAACCAAGTGGCAGCGACCTCCCAAGAAAAGCCTGGGTCAACCTAAACCGTGTCAGAACTGGAGTTGGCCGCACACAATATTTCCTACATAAAATTGGAGCTGAATCATCACCAAACTGCGCCTGTGGAGAGATCCAAACTATGGATCATGTCATTGATGATTGTCCGATCTACAAATCCCCCCACGGCGCTTCCGGACTTCGTGAGCTCGATGATGAGACGATCTGTTGGCTCAATAAGGATCTTCCTATCTAGATGATGTACTCCCTGATATTCTTTGCACGAACGAACGAACGAACGAAGAAACATAATGAGGTTGAAATACTTGTTTTGCGCACGATCAGAAACAGGTCTGAGGGGTGATGTTCATAATAATGGCTAATCCGGTATTGGCACTTACAGTTCGAAACACGCAGTGCATTCGCCCAAGAAATTATTCTCAATACAGATTGCGTTTGCAGAAATATGTTTTTTTTTTCCTCGTAACTCCAAGTTACGGGATTCTGTGAGATACGAGCTGCGCGTGCACCAATCAGTGAGCCTAGTGCGTGTGTTGGCTGACCACGGGCGGCCATTTTTTATCAGTTAAAATTTCACATTATTCGAAATTTCACGCTCTACAGGAGGTACGTGTAACTGTATTCGAATTACTATTAACAACACCAGCTTCTGAGCCGGTTATTCTAGTTTGATAGTTCTGTTAGTGCCTGTTATGACTGATTTTGTTAGTGATGAGGGCCCCCGGTGAGGGCCCACGAGAAAAGGCGCCTAAAATCAGGCAGCGAGCGGTGAGTTGTTCTCACCGGAGTCCATCCGCACGGCGGTACGGGCTAAACTCCCCGGAAGCAGGATAGTGAATGCTCTGAATCCCAGCAGGGCTGGTAATGGAGTGCTATTCGCTGGCACGGCTAGCGATGTTCAGAAGCGAGTCAGTTTTGTTATACCAAAATTAACAAATACTAGTAGGTCGGGTGAGAGTGCCAGAGATAAGGTCATCGAATATCACTCTCAGTCTCAGAAGACCATTCCAAATAAGCCTAAGCCTATAATTAGGCTAAGCAGAAGGCCGTTTCGACTTGTAAAACAAAACATGGAAAGGCAAAGCCAAATGACATGAAGGAGGTGAATGAGTCATATGAGATTCCAAAATCTGGAAAAAAAACACTTGAGAAACAGAATTTAATGTTGGAAAAGCTCTGTGAGAAAATGTCCAGTGATATAGTACAGTTGGGAGACATATGACGCTGTTACAAGATCTGGAGATGCCCAAGTGGTACAACAATAAGCATATAATTAGTATATGGAGGAATTGAATACCCTTACGAACATGAGGATGATGGAATTGTTTTTCCCTTCCGTCTACCCGATACCAAGTTGAAGAATTTGACCATGTACTTAGAAACAGACTTGGCAACAAGGCATGCAGGGATGTTGTTAGCCCAATATTGGCCAAGGGCTTTGTAGGCCGTTTTCAGACACAAGCCCCTTTGGGGCCTGATGCAAATGACGAGCTGATACACAGCCTAAACATGCTATCAGAACGGCTGGGCATGGAAAACATGGCTACTCTTATGGACAAGTTTGTTCCACCAAACAACATCCCCAACCTGGTAGTACCCAAGGTAAACCCTTCGATTTGGGATAATATCCCTGCGAAAACAAAATCAAGAGAATTGAGACTGCAACAACTCCAAAAGCCTCTAATTAAAGGTTTAATAGCAGTTACGAACCTTATGAAAGAAAAGTCTTCCCCAGAACAGGAAGAGGCCTTGGCATTGCTGCCACATGCAAATTATGAGGTGAACATGTATAGAAGAGACTAAGAGAGAGTATAAGGCCTGAACTGAATCCGAGATATCAACCATAATATTGTGTCGCCCTGAAGTCAAGGTAACACAGCAACTCTTTGGTGAGGGTCTTGGTAAGGTTGTCAAAGACATGTCATAACGCAGTGTCTGTTACGTTAATGGGGAGCCTTAAAGTTAAAGAGCAGCGATATGCTCCATAATAATGCAGGTAACCTCATCAGGCCAGCCTATCCCGGGAGAGGCCGGGAAGAATCAAAACTCTCTTTCGGCGCCCTCTTTTTTAGATAATATGCGGAACAGAGGGCGTGGATTCTATCCGTGGTGCAAAGGAAGAGGATGGTACAATCATGAGAGGTCAGAATAAACAGAGAGGTGTCAATGCACCAGCCACCCTGTCCAGGGTCCTTTACTAGAATCCGAAGTAATTAAGACAGATGATGAGATGAGGAATGATTGTCCACTGAGTACCCCTCTGAATTGTAACCTTTTCAAAGGAGGCCAAATAAATTTGCATTCGAGCCAATGAAAAGAACTAACTGCTGATAGAAATATCTTGAACATGGTCAAGGGAAAAAAGTTGAAAGATGTGACCACATACCCGGCGGATTTATTTCCAATATTTTCACAAAAGAGTAAAAAGCCGAAAGATTGAGAAGGTTTCTCATCTTATCAAAATTTAACATGGTCAGGGGATACAAGTTGAAAGTTGTGACCCCATATCTGGCGAGTTTATTTCCAATATTTTCACAAGGGAGTAAACAGCCGGAAGATTGAGAATGATTCTCATCTTATCAGAATTGAATAATCACTTGAATTTCCACCACTTCAAAATGGACACATTTGTGGTCCAATTGTTAACCAAAGAATGTTTCATGGCATCACTTAACTTAAAGGATGCATACTAGTATATCTCCATATATACCAGGGGCAGAAAATTCTTGCGTTTTCCATTGGAAAATAAAACTTGTTTCAATTCAGAGCGCTACCTAACGTGCTTTCACCAGGGTCCAGGATGTTCACGAAAATGCTTAAAGTGCCTTTAACTGCATGTGCTCAGGAGCAGGGGGCATATGTTATTAGGGACTTTTAGATTCGCACGAAGACAATAGGTCTATGCTACGATCGACGTCCTTTTAATGCACTGCCTTGAATGGAAGTCACACGTATCAGTCCACGCAAATCTAAAAGTCCCTATTATCTCCTACATTGACGACATATTTATGATACTTATAAAAGCAGAGTCTAATGATCAAGTAGTGCATGCGGTGCATGGCACAATAGAAATACTGACGAATTTGAGGATTGTTATTCACCCTCAAAAATCCAAATTTGAACCTAGCCAGCAACTCGGTTTATTGGGTTTTGATATAAACTCGGATACGTACAATGACTGTCATACCGACAGAGAGGAAAGTAGCTGAGATTAGAGAGTTGCGGTCAAGTTGCTCAGAACAAGCAAAGTCACTGCAAGACAGCTGGTTTGTTTTATCGGGAAAGTTGTAGCAACTCTTCCTGCTTGTGAGCAAGGAAAATTGCACTACAGAGCATTCGCAAGAGACAAAATCTTTAACCTGAAAGCACATAAGGGCAATTATGATGCTAAGTTGACACTCACAGACACAGCAACGGAAGAATTGCATTGGTGCGTGGAAAACATTTTAGTCACCAATTAAACATTTGGGATAAAGGAAACGAGATGTTGAGTTGAGCAGTGATGCTATAGTGGTTCTGGATGAGGGTGCACGGATGGTAAAGCCTAGTGTGGAGGTCGATGGAAACATTCAGAGCCCCTCGCCAGTTGGAACAATATAAAAATATAGAGTTACTTGCATCCTTCTTTACAATGAAGGCCTTTTGTAAGGGCAAGAGTGGCATCCATGTTCTCATGAGGTTAGATAACACCACGACAGTCGGTTACATTAATGCAATGGGCGGTATCAAATCTGTATAATATGATGAACTTGCTCATGTATTATGGCAATGGTGTATAGAAAGGGATATATGGGCCACAGCAGCCCACTTGCCTGGTGTAGAAAATGACATTGCAGACAAAAGGTCCCAGAAACTTCAGCGATGAAACTGAATGGATGTTAAACCCAAAAGTGTTTAAGGAGTAATGTAGCTTGATGGGTAATCTGAAGATTGACCTCTTTGCATCCAGGTTCAATACCCAGCTACCAGACTATGTATCATGGCAACCAGATCCAGAGACACTAGCCATTCATTAATGCATTCACGCTATATTAAGGGGAACTTTAGTTTTATGCTTTCCCTCTGTTCTGTTCTGGGATATTGATCGTCCCAAAAATTCGCGTCAAATGTCATGATTCCCAAGGTTATTACAATTATTAATTGATGTGTCTACTGTTTGCCACAGAGTGCGCATACATTAATCCAAACAGAAACTGGGAGAATTCACCCCCTATGCAACAAACTGGTCTTGCTTGCTTGCAGATTATCATGAAATCGATACAAGCAAGAGGCATTCCGGAATCAGCTCAATCCTGGAGGCAATCTAACAGAAAACAGTACATCTCCTACATTAGGCGATGTATTTACCTTTGTCACAGACGGTCGACTGATCCGTTGCAGACGCATGTCGGTGAGGTGTTAGATTTTCTGAACAAATGTGATGGAGAGAGGAATTGGATATAATGCTATAAACACAGCTAAAATTGTGATATTGGTAGCTATGCTCTTTTTCAAGGAGGGCAATCATTAAAGGACAACCATAAGGTGGCAAGGTTCATGGGGGAAGTGTTTAAATTAAAATCCTGTATGCTGATACTTTTGTTATCAGCACAGCGCGAATAGACGCTTTACCTCTTGAGAACAGACAACTAAGCTTGCAAGAAGGTAGTGCAAGATTCTGTAAGAGATTTGAAGGAATACCCGCTTAACAAGCGACTTTGTGTAGTACAGACTTTAAGGCTGTATTTGACAAAGACAGGATCGCTTCGGGGAGAAGAAAAACGCCTCTTCAAAAGTTACAAGAGACCTCACTGTGCAGTATAGAAACGATTCCCGTTGGGCAAGAGAGGTTTTGTCGCGTTCAGGATTTGAAGCTTCAACGTCCGCAGCCGAAGCGAGACATGTGCCCATCTGTGATATTATGTTGATGGCCGGATGGCCATCAGAGAACACATTTGTACTTACTATAACAAGCCTCTAATGTACAAACATGTTGACAGTTTCCAAAGGGCTGTATTGGAAGCTTGACTTTGTCGTTCATTGAGCATGGATTAGAATCCGGATAAACAAATTTGGGCCTCAGATTGGGCCAATTTATGCAACCAATACTTGATTAAGTGGCTTATGCCATTAGGGTGGGTAGCGTCGCGTCGCGGCGCGTTGACTTTAACGCGACCATTCGTCCAAAGCCCCCCCGGTTTGACCGAAAGGGTGCGTTGGGAGTGTCGCGTCGCGTCGCCTTAACTTGAACGCTGC